GGTGGGTGCGGGGGCATCCAGGGCGAGGGGTGCCACCGCACACCAGGTCACGGGGCATGGGGACAAATGGCCAGAGGCCAGCTGGTCACCATCCTCAGCTGGGCTGCAGTGGCCTGGCACGACCCCGCGCCACGTCCTCTGTCCCCTTCTGTGGGCTGATGAGCGGTAACGAGGTGAAGGTACAGCCCGAGCGACAACGTGGGGACCCGGGCCCTTTTTCCCTGCGAGGGATGGATGGGTGGGTGCAGAGAAACGGAGGGTTCAGGAGGAGAAGAGGAGCTGAGCAGAGATGCCCAAAAGGCATGTCCCATGCCCCCAAGGCTGGCACGGCTGGAAGTCATTTGTTGCCCTCAGCCTTGGGAAGGGCTCGGTGATGCCAGTGCTGAGCAACGGGTGGCCCCAGCAGCCCGGGGACAGATCCATGCCTGTGGTCCCCTCCAGTGGGTCACTCCAGATCCGCATGGCTCTGAGGTCTCATGCTCCCCAGCACAGAACCACGCAGCCAGGGGGAAGCTCCACCGCGAGAGGCTGCATGGGAAGGTGCAAGGAGGATGTGTGTGAGCTGCCGCAGGGCTGTGCCCGCCACCAGCAGCTTGGGAGCTGGGGAGGAGATGCCCGCGTGTGGGTACTGAGCAGCGTCCACAGAGGGCTGCTTGCCCGCAGTGCCCCCACCTGCTGTGCTGGGCCCAGGGGACAAGACCGTGACCTTGAGGCAGCTTTCCTCCTTGGAGGTGCCACCATGGGCAGAGGGGGCATGTGCACCCTCTTAGTTTGGAGCTGGCTCAAGAAATGCAGGTTCGGAGTTAGGCAGGGAAGTCTCCAAGCAGCCGGGGACCAGCAGCAGCTCTCGGTACACAGGGGACAGCTCCATCTGTGACCAGCAGCTGGCCTCTGCCTGTCCCAAGCATCATCGAAACCACTGCCGTGGGCCTTCGCTTCTCTCTTTCCTTGCCTTCTTGCAAGGGAGACCTAAAGCATCGCGAGGAATGAATTAAAGAGTGTCACGAGCTTGAAAATACAACCCTCTGTCTGCAGCTGTGCCACCTCCAGCTGCTGAGCGCATCCCTCCTACCTGCAGAAGATCAGAGAGACAATTCCTTTCCCTGGCTCTTATTTTCTTCTCTCAAACATCTCTCCAGAGCCACTCCCTGTGCAGATTTCCCTTGACACGCTCCCCTCGCCACCCTTGCCTTTGCCCAGCAGTGCTGGTGAGTGTGTGGGGTGCTGAGCTGGGGTCATTCCCAAGTCCCCAGCCCCCCCATGCTCTTCCAGGCCTGAGGCGAGCTGATGG